TTACTGCAACCGCCCACAACACAACGTTTAACCATCACAAACGTTTGTTCTGAAAACAACTTCTAAAAACTCTCTATCTCAAAAAAAAAAAAAAAAATTGACAAAAAAAAGAAATGCCGACCGAAAAATGTATATCGTTTAAAAGTATGTTGAATCACGCAGTGTTATATAAGTACAGCTCAGGAGTATGGCTTCCTCTCATATTTTGGCATTTGGTGGCGCACTTTCGGCGAGAGTCGGAAATCCGGAAACAGTCGACCGTTTCAGGATAGGTGGGCGTGGCTACAGCACGAGATATATCTTAAATTTACTTGGATAGGAGTAACCATTTTGACAAAAACAATCAATAACTGCCCACTTCAGTAGGACACGGATCTAAAATAGTTAACGTGAGAGTGGGCATTGCACAGGCACTTTAACTTAAATTTAAGATGGCTGCCAAACATTCTTGAAGTGGGAGTCACGAGGTCACATTGGCCTCTGTCAGTATAGAATGTTTGAGACCATTTCAGCAGTTTACTCAAATGACAAAAGAAGAAAAATAGAATCCCTAATGTATGTCTGAAGGTCCTTTGTTTTTGTTTTCCTTAAACATAGGAAGCATCGGATCCTACCAAAATGAACCAATATCAGCAGAGAGGTTGTTATCCCCGTCCCTCCAACTAAATGTTCTGCAGATGGGTGCCAATTCAAAATTAGAATTTCTCTGCATGGTATATCCATTTCAACGTAGTCCCTCCACAAACATTGTCTACCTCTTGTTCATTTCAGAAATAGTTTAAACAAATATTGACTTTGTTATTTCTTGTTCGGACATAGTCCGAAAACTGAGACTTATAGATTGACCTATATGAATTTGTTTCTCGATCTGATTCAAGATGGCTGAATGGTGACCATTTTTGTGCTAAAAAATCAACAAAATCAAGCATTTCTCGGATGTTTACGATGGATTTTGTTCAAACCTGGTACATACATTGGACATTGAGACTGTGATGCACGTCATTTTATTTTTCAGATCGGATTTAAAATGGACGACCAGCGTCTATTTTGTTTGAATGCAGTTCTACCCCGGTAGTGCCGAGCTCTGACATGCTTTGACTTTGACTATGTTCATTATACATCATGTAACAGATATACAGATGTATTCAAAATGGTCGACTGGTGGCTGTTCAGAGCAATGTCTCTCATTATGGACAAGTACTCGTTTATTTATGGACAAGTACTCATGACTATCAGATACAAGATAACAATGTCAAACATTTTAATGTTAAAAAAATCATCAGCTTCTAGACTCTTATCTCTGACATGTTTATGTTCCAACTATAATGCTATAAACAAAACTGTATATCTTAAATTTCTATACTGGGACTGTGCCATGTATGGCTTGTTATAATTGCCAGGGCTGTACTGCATTCTAAGATTTGGGTATTGGCAAAAACAGAAGTATTTGGTCCAGCAGCAGCCTGGTGACTGCTACCCAAATTTGCACATCTTAATCAGCCTTGATGTAATCACAAATATGAACAGAAACTGAACCTGACATTGCATCTTGTGAGCGAAACTGTAAATGGAAAGGTAAATCAGTTTTCCGAAGTGTGGTTATCACTTGTATACCTGTAGTCTGAAAATGAGTTCAATGACAGAAAGTAAAGCCAACTTTAATGATCTTGACAGCGATATTTTATGTTAAGATATGTACATTAGATGTCAAAATTCAGTAGATAAGACTTAAGACGAATCTATGTAACAGTAGAGGACGATCCTCATACTTTGGGAGCTAATCAGCGACTGTCTTACAGTTGGATGGCAATTTCGCTTTGAAATATACCAGGGAAAGTGTTCTATGCTCTTCGTGTCCACACAAAAACGACGAATGAGGTAGATTTTTTCAGCGGTTGGCTTAATGTTACCCCAACGGATCGTTTGAGTGGGAAAGTTTGTTATTTTCTCCGATTTGTAGGAAACTGTTTCTCAACTTGTCTATTTAGTTTCAAGTAGTGTTCAAGATGGTTACCCTCATATATTCTCATCAGTGGATTAATCGCATTTATAATATCACGCCAACTGACTGTGGCCATTTTTTTCGGGCTCAAATCATTCAGGGGAATCCAGACATGTACCAGTCTGAGGATGCGTAAAAACATTCTATGTCCCCTAATGCAATATAGACTCGCCAAGAGTGGACGCGATTACAAACCGGTGCCAGCGAGATTCGAAAGCCAATCGTTTAGTCAAAACCCAAGCAGTTAGCCAATTCGCTAGCGAGTTTGCAAATTGGC